GTTGAAGATGGAAGACCAAACTGTGCATTTTTGCCGTATTTTATTATTTTACTTCCATAAAGGGAAGAACGCGTGTCAAGCTTGTGAAAAGTTGCATAAAGTTTACGGTGACAATGCTCTACAAGAGCATCAGTGCCAAAGATGTTCACGAAATTCCGTGCTGGTGACTTTGATCTTAGCAACACTCCTCAGTCGGGAGGCCCACCGAGGTTGATGACAACAAAATAAAGACATTGATCGAGTCAAACCCGAGAGATTGCAGGAACATTGAACATCCATCATTCAAGCATTCATGACCACCTGAAGAAGCTGGAATACGTAAGCAAGCTTGATATTTGGGTTCCGCATGAACTCAAAGATTGAAAATCATTTGATGGTGCGTATAAACATCTGCAGTATGCTCATTAAACGTGAGGAAAACTGTTCTTTTTTGAAGTGACTGATAACTGGTGATGGGAAGTGGATTGTTTACAACAATGTGGTGTGCAAACAGTCTTGGTCCTGACGTGATGATTCGCCTCAAACGACATTGAAGGCAGACATTCATCAGAGGAAGGTTATGCTCTCAGTGTGGTGGGATTTTAAAGTCGTTGTGTTTTTCGAGCTTCTACCAAGGAACCAAAAAACCAATTCGAATGTGTACTGCTGGCAATTGGACAGTTTGAACGAATCCATCATCCAGAAACGTCCAGAGCTTGTTAACTATAAAGGAGTTGTGTTCCATCGCGACAACGTGAGACCACACACAAGTTTGATCACCCGTCAAAAACTATTGGAGCTTGGATGGGATGTGTTGCCACACCCACCATACTCACCTGACCTTGCGCAGTCAGACATCCACTTGTTTCGCTCTCTTCAAACCTCCTTGCATGGTATAACGTTCAATTCAGATGAGGCTGTAAATCAGCACCTTGTTCAGTTTTTCGCAAATAATGACAGGTCCTTCTATGTACGAGGAATTATGAAGCTCACTGAAAGATGGCAAAAGTTTATCGAACAAAACGGGCAATATATCATTGATTGATCTTTGTTCTTTATATAAATAACCTTTGAAAAACATAGACAAAATATTTCATGACTTTTCCGACAACCCAATAGGAAGGAGAATGTTGAGGTGGCAAGAAACATTAAATCACTCCGTCTCAGAAATTTGAGGAAAGGCAAACCTTACATCTTACCACAGTAAGATACCAGTTTCTCCAAGGGCTTTGCTGAATTGTTTGCTTTTCCCTTCAGAATATGCAAGGCTAGAAGTGAAAGATAATATGCTTCTTTATTCCTAAGTTCAGGATTTATGTAAGACGATAGCTCACAATAATGCAGGGAAATCAAATGCATTAATATCCGAAAGGTTTTTTTGGTGTTCCCAGGGTTATCTGCTTGCTGGAGTAAATTAATTTAAATCAGATAATGAAGTCCCAGCATAAAGCTGTGAGTCTCAGTAGTGGGGGCCAGGATGATCTAGTAAGTTGAGAGTACCTGGCTCTTGCAAGGAAAGACTTTGGAGATAGACTAACGCAGGAATCAGTTTCAGCTTTGCCATGCACTATCTGTGTGGCCCTGAGCAGCTCACTCAACTTCTCTGTACCTAGTTTCCTCACCTGTAAAATGTGGATAATTCTGTCTTGCAGCATTATGATTAGAACTTGAGATAACATATAAAACACATAGCACGGCTCCAGACACATGTAATAGCTGTAAGTACTGGTGATTCAGGGCGTGTTCATTTTCTATTGCTGCTGTAAGAAATTACCACAAACTTAGTGGCTTAAAACATCACAAGTGTATTAGTTTATAGTTGTGTAGGTCAGAAATCTGACACAGTTCTTAAGGGGCCAAAATCAAGATACTGGCAGGGCTGTGTTCCTTTCTGGAGGCTCTAAGGGGGCAATCTATTTCCTTACTTTACTCAGATTGTTGGCAGAATTCAATTCCTTCTAGTTGTAGGACTAGGGTCCCCATTCCTTGCTGTCCCCTGAGGGCTGTTCTTAGCTTCAAGAGGCTGCCCACCTTCCTAGGCTTCTGGCCCCCTTCTTCCTGTTTTCAATGCCAGCAGCCGAATTGAGTCCCTCTCACGTTTCACATATTCCCTGCCTCTTCCCATCTCTCTGACCTACCCTTCTGCATTCCTTTTCCATTTTTAAAAGCCTGTGTGATTACATTGGGCCCACCAGGTTATTCATGATGCCTATAACATTATCACAACTGCTAAGTCCCCTTTATCAGATAAAGTAACATTCACAGGTTTGGAGGAAGTAGGGCATATTCTTGGAGGGCCAATATTCTGCTTACCACATAGGGAGTTACAAGTAAGAATAAAGATGCATCAAACCACATCCAAGCAGATTGTTTTGAAAGTCTCAGTGGTTGTCTTCCCTTTCCTCTTGAGTCTACAGTAGAGTTTTGGTATACATGCTGATTCCTTTGATTCCGTAGAGGATCTTTTTTTATTTTTTTTTATTGGGGAATTGGGGGAGGGGAACAGCGCTGGGGAATCTGGGAAGAGGAGCAGACAAGTTGCTGTCCTTTTGTTCTTCATTCTAGTTGTGGAGGACATCGCTTCACTGGCCCATGTTGATATTATCATTGCGCTCTTCCCGGGTGAGGCAGTTGCTCGCTGGCCATTGGACGGCCACTCACGGCGGCTCTTGGCAGCTCACGCCAGCTGCCGGCCACTCCTGGTAGCTTATGGCACCTCATTGCAGCTTCACTGCAGCCTACACCGTTGCCGGCAACTCACGGCAGCCCAGCCCAGGTCAAGCTGTTGTTCACCATCTTAGCTGTAGAGGGCACAGCGTCACTGGCCCTCATGTGGGATCCGAACCGGGGCCCTGCTACTCAGAGCTGGCGTCCCAAGCCAACTCTTAACCAATGCACCACTTGGCTGGCCCTGTAGAGGATTTTTAAAATACAACACAGTGGGCTGGCCAAGTAGCTCAGTTGGTTAAGAGTTGGCTTAAGAACGCGAGCTCTGACCAACAGGGCCGCCAGTTCGATTCCCTCATGGACCAGTGACGCTGCGCCCAAGCAGAGCTGACACTGAGCTGTTGGCAGGATGGCTCAGCTGATGTAACAACAAGATTGCCTGTTCGATGGTGGGCTACGCCCACCTGCAACTAAGACTGAACTCAGCACCTTGAGCTGAACTGCTGCCCAGATGGCTCAGTGGATAGAGCGTACGCTCTTTAACAAGGCTGCCGGGTTTGACTCCCGCATGGGATGGTGGCTAGGCCCACCCACAACTAAGACTGAACTTGGCACCTTGAGCTGAGCTGCCACCTGGATGGCTCAGTAGATAGAGCGTGTGCTCTTAACAAGGTTGCTAGTTCAACTCCCGCATGGGATGGTGGCTATGCCCACCCGCAACTAAGACTGAACACAGCACCTTGAGCTTAGAGGCCACGAGCTGCCCACGGGAAGCCAGATGGCGACTGGCGCCCTCCACAATGAAGATTGAAGAACAACAACTTGGCCGGTCCCCTCCCCCAGTTCCCCAATAAAATCTTAAAAAAAAAAAAATACAACACAGTAACAACATTCTTCCTGCTTTATGGGCAGTTTTCCACAAATGGACAGTTTTTGCCAATATAATAGGAAAGGGAATACAGTTAAGTCTTGGACTTTTGTTTCTTGGTGTGGGGAGAAAATGCCATCAGCTAGCTAGTCCCGCTTTCTTGGCTGCGTGGTATCCAGGCTCACATATTACATGGGGGTGGCGTAGGAACTGGGCAGTAGATTGTTTTTATTTCTTACCTGCTTACGTATTTGATTTCATTCAGTATGTGCTTTCAACAAGCCCATTGCTTATCATGATTAATAAAATGTATAATCTCTTTTTTTTGAAGAATGATCTGGAAAAATTTTCAAAAGGTATTGGCAGGTTTACAAGAGAAGATCCCACATTTAAAGTCCACTTTGACACGGAGAGCAAAGAGACAATTGTATCTGGAATGGGAGAATTACACCTGGAAATCTATGCTCAGGTAATGAAGAACAAGGAAGTTAAATTCACTTTATTTATCTCTGTGTTTTGTTAAGAGCTACAGTCAGTAATTCTCAGTCTAATGTCCATAAACTAATAGCGGTTCTTCAAGCTTCGCTCTGCTTTGTATCCAGACATGGTATACTGCTTCCACTACTATGGGTTACAGATTATTTTTGATCTCTAAATATTTTTATTGTAAAACATTACAGACTTTTAGAATCAAGGCTCAGGGGATTTGCAATAAGACCATCCATCCCCAGGTCATGGTTAGTTGGGTTAAGTATATCCTGATCCCAGCCTTAGGGAGACAGCCTGCAGAGAGAAACCTGCTGAGAAAGTCGGCTCACCAGTCCCACCCTTCAGGTCTTTTCTTGCTTGTTTTCTTCTCAAGTCAGTACTCGATCATTATAATATAGATAATAGATAAAAGAACGGGCAGATGGGGCCTGTACTTTCCTGGGAAACGTCGCGCGCATGCGCGTGCGTGCATGCATGTGTGTGTGCGTGTATCTGATTGAAAACCAGATATAAGATGTAAGGTTAAAAATTCTGGCTGTGATCGTATCTTTGAAGTTGAGACAGCAGAAGATTCTCAGATTCATATACTATTCCACTGAATATGTAATAAAATGGAACAAAGATGTAGTTTTAGCAGATGTATTAACTGAAGGTAAATATAAATTAATCAGTCTAAATTAGAATTCACTTATATAAAATCTATAGAAGCAGTTTGTATTATTTAACACTATGTATCTAATCTTTGTAAGATACATAAGTGATTTAAGATTTATCATTTGCTTTATCTATTTAAATGAACGCTAATAGTTAAGATTCTTAGGATTTTTCTTCTTTCAGTTTTTTAAATTTAATAAACCAAAAAATTATTTCCTGTTCTTTTTAGAGGATGGAAAGAGAATATGGCTGTTCTTGTATCACAGGGAAGCCAAAAGTTGCTTTCAGAGAGACCATTACTGCCCCTGTCCCGTAAGTATGCAACACAATTGAACATAGCGCATTACTGTTAAGACACTTTCACATCGTGGCACTTTTTATTATGGAAGCTATACAGTTCTGTGCTGTAATCAAGACATTTATAGCAAGTGACACTTTGGGATTTATTTGGCCCCTTAAGCTACATATCAGTGGACTGACATACACATCCTCAGTAAGCATACTGACACTTCATCCAGCGTTAGGGTCTTCGTTTATTCCAGCTGTGCCTCCTTTGGCAGACGACTATTATGTTTTACTTTCGTACCGTATTGTGGATGCCAGAGAACTTGCATTTGCCAAGGAATAATCTCCTGCAAGGAAACCAATGCTATGATAAAATCCAGAAAACATTTAAGAAAACAGAGTTGGGTTTATATTTTGTTAGAAACAAAACAGTCCTCAAAGAATAGCACAAAACAAGTTAAATTGCTATAAGTATAGTATACTTCAACCCTACTTGATTTATATGCATTTATATGAATTCTGATTTAGAGTCAAAATTAATAAGGAATATTGTGGCTATAAAACAAGTCTCAATTTTCAAAGTGGCATCAAATGAAGGTGAATGATACTTTACCTGAGATGGAATATCATGAAGTAGAATTGTGTAGTCTAATTCAATGAAGTCGTCATTTCTTTGCTATAATAAATAAAAACCTAGTGTGTAAAATGTATCACTGGCAAAAACAGTATTTTAATTTTAAAAATCAGCTTTCATTAGAGGATTATAATACTCCCACTTAAGTAAAAATAAAAATTGAATGTCACAATTTATTTAGACTGACAGAAAAACTTTGTCTTATAAATAAGTTTGCTTTCAAAGTATAATTTAATATTATGATTTTTCATTTGTTAGTCTAAAAATCACTTTCCTTTCTGTTTTTAGATTCTGAGTTGTGGTAGCTACTTAAAGCCTTACAGTCTATAGCTTGTCGTTTAAGATTCCTTAATGTTTACATTGTTCAGAAAAGCATCATTTAAGGGATACAGTACTGAAATGAGTGTTTACATTAAAGGAAACCAATTTTGTAATACAAATTCTTTTAAAAAACTGAAAATAGTAAAATGTAATGAATGTAGTTATCTGATTGTGTTATTAAAGCTTTGATCTGTGCTGCTTATTGCTTTGTGCATATAAAGTATTTATACCATTAGCCACACAAAAATATTGCATCCACATAGTTTAAAACCACAGTTATCAGAGACAAGGCTCTTTAAGGCTTATAATCGATGGATTGAAAGAAGCCCTAGCTTTCAAGGGGCACATAAGCTCCTCTGGCTCCTTTGGTTAATAGTGATTATAAATGTGGGTAAATAAAAGGATACTATTCTTATAGTCTCTTGAAGGAATCCTTTTTTGAATATATCAACACAGAATGTCCTTTAATGTAAAAATCAGTACTAAGGATTCTTACATGTTGGATATTAATAGGCAAAGATATATATAGATATATATAGATATATATAGACATCTATATATATCCTGAAGGAGTATGTAAACCCTTTTGTTGAGATTTTCATTAATGCTTCAAAACTACAATTTGGTGAAGGAATTTTCTTTCATAAAACTACGAGCCCTGTCTTTGTGCTTATTTTGCTATGAAAACATGACTTGAAAAATCATGATTATGATTATATAGCCTCTGTAAACCTGGACCAGTTAATTGTTTGAGACCTCAGGACCCCTACAGGAATGCTGTAACCAGGGCTGATGTCAACAAAAATGCATTCGAAAAAGGCTGTTTCTGAAAATGTTGGTGCAGATTTATGTTAGGTGTTTGACATCACACTCTGAGGACTGTAAGTGGGTATCCTGCCCTCCGGTGCCTGTAGGTATCTAATGACTGGTTACAAAAGCCTGTGGGAGTAGGGGCTCCAGCTGCCTTGCAGCTATTAACAAGCCAGCTGGAAAGTCTGTCTGTTACGCAGCTGACTAAAGCTGTTTGCTATGGCTTCTTTGCACATTTTTTCTGTTTCCCATGAGATATTACTTGCTGACATTTTTTTTTCTTAACTCCTTAATAAAGCTAAAATCAAAAATTTCTCTCTTTAAGGTCTAGAAAGAGGCAGTTCAGAGTAATCATATCACACTTAAGAAAACACAAGGCTAGCAACAAGTCAGATATGAGGTTGTAAATTATGATTAAATGGGTTATAAAAGAAAATTCTATATAGCAAGCTTCACAAAGACTGAGATGCTAATATTTTTATTCCAGCTGATCCCTGCGGAAAAATGGCAACCATGACTCCAAGTAGCTCTGGCACCACCATTTCAGTAGAGGAAAAAAGCAGAAGTAGTTTCAATATTGTATGACTATAATAACTTGAACATAAAACATAGGTTGCCAAAGGAAATACTCTGTATTAAGCTGAGCACAAATTATAACTCAAGACTCTGCTCTCTTGAAACTGCAGCTTCTTCACCTTCTCTGGCCTTGATTGTCACCGACCTCTCCTTCACAATACTGGCTACACTGTTTTAAATACAAAATTACCAAAGGGGCACCACTTACCTAATAATGAATTATAATACTTTCAATAAACATTAACCCTGTTAATAGTATATTTTATGGAAATTACTTACCACTTGCTTGACAGTTTGAATTTTTACCATTTTATACCACGTGTTTTCAGTAGAATTTTGCCATATTATATAACCACAGGCAACCCAGGCTAAATGTCGAACTGGCTTCATTTCTGGAGCTATATTTCCAAAACTGTCTGGTAAGGCAAACATGATAAATGGAATTACTTTATATATATAGTATTAACCTTTTTTAAAAAAATATAAATTCTAAGTCATGTCTTAGTTTCCTTAGTGTGCAGAAAATAATTAAGGCATGGATCTATAAAGTTTCAAGGACTTTTTTGCTGAATTAGATTGGTAATGGATATTTTTACAAAAGCCAATATATTTCCAGTATAATGTCAGCATCTGATAATTTTGAGCACAGATAATTGACATTGATCTTAAAGTTGAAGAAGATACTTTCCCATGCCATATTTATATACCTGGAATATTTTGTGCTTCTAGTGGTTCCTTCATGGACTTGAGTCTTTGATAAAATGTGTTATCTTCTTCATCTGGGTTCTTTCCAATTTCTCCTTCAAATGTGAAATTGACTTCTGGTGCAGTGTCTTGTCCCACTGGAGGGTAAAGTACTTCAGCTGTGCAGTTCACTGACACTTGCTGTTTGAAACATTTTGCAAAAGATTTTGACATGTAGATGGCCATCTATTATTAAATATTGTTGAGCTATATAACATGTAAAGCATTGACCCCCAATGGTGTTTCAGACTTGAATTCAGAGTATCTACTCCAGAGGTAATCTAATTGGGAGTGGCCTAGTAAAAATTTCTTAGCGGTATCTAAAATAGACGACTTATTTTATAACTTATTAGGTCTCATTATCTTATAAATTCATCTTAAACTTGGAGTATATTTCAGTATTAATGGGGTGTCCATTTGCAAGGCCAGATTTTAATCCAACTTTATATACTAACTCTAGACCCTGGTTACTTTTTAAGTCTTTCCATAACACTTACTCTCTTCTCCTGAAACAACAGCAATTTTCTCAAACTCAGATACAGCATTCTGTATCTAGATGTAAAATGAAAAGATTGTAACTTTGGTTCTGCTTTTGTAAAGATGGTTGTCTAGCAGCTCAGATGCCTTTTAATGAATCTCCTTATGTTAGCCTGTATCTCTTCTGAGTTATGCTCAACAAAAGGGCAAGCTTTTTTAAATTTCAAGATGGTTATGGTACAAATTGCAATTCCTCTTAAGTTTCTCTCATTAATAATTTGACAGGTATATAAAAATTTCCTTGCCCCATTACTGAAAGATTCTTATCTGAACATATCAGCTGTCCATTCTATTGCTCATAAATATCTAAAAGCACTTGCTTTCTTTAAACAAATCAAAAACAGAATGAGAAAGGCAGACATAAAGTAGTGATGATTGGAGAGTAATTTATTTCACTTGTTAATATTAGGCATAAGTTCAGACTGCCCTATGAGAACCTAACATTTTTAAAGGGAATTTATTTGAAATATATAGAGTCTTTTTTTTAAATAGCTCAATAGAAATGCTTCCTGTATCTCAGAATACACAAAAAGAGTAAAAACTGACCCTTGTGTGGTCCTTCTTTTTTTCAAGGCAGGGTTTTACAACTTAAAAAAAAATGAATCCTATGATTTGATCAGCAAAGGTGATGTGGAATATTTAGAATCAAATTTTATTTAATAAAAAAGTATGTTTCACTTACTTTTTGGATAATTTCTTCCACAGAAAACTTAAGGTGATACTTATGTCCTCTTCCTTGAATATCCTAAAATTAAGAAAATGTGGTTAGTTATTATAACAATAACTCAATTCCTTGCATTGTTAGAAGAGTCCATTCTCCTTTAAGGGAGGGGGGGGCGCTGACTGGGTAAATAATTAAAGCCTTAGACCTTGAAAAGCATATTTCCATGTATATGTAAATATCTAATTTAGCAGGTCTCCTATGAGGTTTATTTTGGATGAGAACAAAAGGGTAGGATAAAAGCGTATATAAATAAAATGGGTTCCAATTCACTTTCAATCATCAGAGAACTTCAACCTCTGGATCTGTGATTCTAAATTCTCTACATAAGAAATTTTGAAACAGCTTATAATTCTAAAGATGACAAATAGGATACACCATTGAAAATATTTTTCATAAAGCCCTGTGTACCCTCCAAATAGTGTTCAAGGAAGGTGAATTCCATTTTGAGGCAGGTTACTGCAAAGTGATTAGACATGTTAAATACTGTTTTTACTTGTATGCTAGTGGACCTGCAGAATGATACTCTAACAAATTTTATAACAGTAAGACAAACGTTTAAGTAGTATTTCACTTTTGAATTAAATAACATCTACTCCCTGTCAGCAGTTAAACTTACGTCAGATAAATAAGGAGCAATCTCAAACAAGCTGAGTGATTGCCGAGGTTTTAGGCATTTAGCTTAACCCTTTAGCCAGAGGGAGTCAATGCAGTAGTGTTTGCGTGGTTAAGGCGAGGCTTGAGCTCACGCTTACTGAATTTGGTTGTCAGCTTCTCTTGCTGTGTGTTTCTCCCTTTACGTGGGTCAAAGGGTCTAATGAGGATTGCTCTTAAACTGAAGGATCGTTTCCAAGACAGGAAATGTGGCGGTTTTAGGATTCTTTCCAATGGTTCCTACAGGTTTCACTTGGGGAACGGGAAATGCAGCCCCTCACTGGTAACATTTTCCCATTTCCTTGTAATAGCGCCTATAAAAACGGTGTCATGTCTCTGCCTTCCCATGAAAACAACAAACAGCCCAGTGCTGACCCCAGAAACTGGAGTATGGACTGGCAAGACCTGACGCCAGCTGTTTGGGGTGGGGGTGGGGGTGGGGTAGTTGCAGCGTAGCCTGACCGAGACCCTTGGGAGTGAGGGAGCCGGTGCCCGCGGCCCGTCGCCCTCTGCCGGACTCACCTCCATGCTGGCTTGTTTGACTGTCTGCACCAGAAACACCTTGTGGGGGGTCCCCTGTTGGTAGTTGATGCAGTTCTCTGCCACTGACGCCGCTCTGGAGGCTGCATAGTGGGTCGGCGGGATTTCCATTCTCGGTGATCGAAGGCTGGGTGAGCACAGGTCGACTCAGGCTTAACGGGTCGCGTACCAATGCACCGCCGTCCCGCCTGCCGCTCGGTTGCGGAGGCGGAAAAATCTGCGAGCACTGCAGGGCTGGGCGTGGGCGTGGTCTCAGTTTCTTCCCTCCCTCTCTCCCCTCCTCTCTTCTGTTCTTCCCTCCTTCCGCTTCAGGGAGCTGAGCCTGGGCGGTGGCTCCCTTAATGGGCTGCTCCTGGGGCCCTGCCCTGCTTCTTGTTACTTTTGCTCCAGTTCCCGCCGCGGGGAACCCCTCCTCGGGTCTGGCGTGGAGGGAGCTGGTGGGCTAGGTGGGCTGTGGGCGGGGGGGGACTTCATGCTGCCTTTTGTTAGACGTTGCAGAAGTGGGGGGAGGGATCTTTGGCCTTTGCCTTTATGGAGCGTGTCTTCTGGAGCCTCCGTTTCCCTCCTTGGAGAGTCTGGCTGCTTCACTTGCAAACTGGAGCACGACTTCCTTATACACCACCCAGTGTCAGGCACAGGGCAAAGAGCAGAGGCGCGCCGGGTAGTGAGTGAATCAGTCCGGGAGCAGACTTGCTCATCCCCGGCTTTCGGTGGGTTGGGCTGGTTCTGCCCAAGTCAGGGTATGAGAGACTGCGAACTAGAGCATTCATTCGGAGGATTATGTGATTTGGGGAAGGAGAATTTTTTAAATGCCCCCGCACCCCTCTCTTTTCACTTAGAAAGATGAGATTTTTGACATAACACCATGCTTCCAACTTTCTCAGTCACTTTGAAAATTTAAGGATTAAAACATTTAAAAACGGAACTTATACAAAGCACTACATTGATGTAGCTTCTAACAAAAGCAGGAGTTTTTAAAGCTGCTTAATTAGTAGGCAGTGCTCTGCCACTCTGGATTTCTTAATTACTTTCTTGGGTGACCTTTAAGCGAACTATAATTTAGGATATTCTTTGGATTTTCTCGAGATCAGGAAGCTAAGATTTCTTTTCATCAGATGTATAGTCTGTTGTGTCTGCTCACTCGCGGGCCGTGAAGGAATTCACGAAGTCAGGTAGAAATAGAAATATAGAAGATTTACTAAATAAGAGAAGGGTAGGCTGGGCAGAGCCTGCTGCAAACTACTGAGTTGAGTCTGTCTGGTCTCAAGTTTTGTATTTTCCTGTAGAAGCGGGTGGGGGAAGGCGTGGTAAAGCTGGTTATCGCAACCTTTGCATACGTTATGTAGATTTAAGTTGGAGCCGGGAGAATGGACCCTGTGCAGATGCAAAACCTCTCCCTAGTCACAGGGCCAGCACTGGGCCTAAGTAAATAGAAACATCGAAACTGCATAGTAACTGTATAGGATGCAGAATTATTAAGAGGCAAAGAAAAAAAGGCTTTCAGCAAGTCCCAAGCTAAATTATACTTATTAATTCGAATTATACCAGAGGTTCAAATCTCAAAAATAGAAAATTTAGTGCCACCATTACAATCCCCTGTCTTAACATAGCCAACCTTCACTTTAGCTTGTTGGCTTGGAAATAGATTTTTTCCTTTTACTCAAAATGAACTTTTGAAGGTTTTTTGGGTAGATATGTATGTTGTAGTGCTTTAAAAAAAGGTTAACAAAAATGTACTGTCTTCCTCAAATACACGTTTCAATTTATTTATGATCATTCTTTGTTTGGAGTAAGTAGATTTTTAAAAAATAGTAAGCAATAAGGCATTTTCCATCCTTTCTAGTTATATAAGCCAGCAAGTGTCAAGTAACTAGAGGATGAAGGGGTTAGTTTCTCAAGACTTTTTCCAAAAAAATGAAGGTTTTTTTCTTTTTGGGGGGAGGGGTATATGAGTCATTCAGCTATATCAGCCAGCCTCAGAGAGTGTGTGTGTGTGTGTGTGTGTGTGTGTGTGTGTGTGTGTGTGTGTTTGAATTATGTGCTCCTTTGATAGTGTCCAGGAAAGAGTGGCAGAGTATCACATTCTGATGATGCAGAAAGAGCTTTTTGCTGATAATGAAATTTTAAAGTTTCACAAATAGCTAGTTAACATCTGTGTTATTATCAGAGTGGTGAGAAGTACAATATGTGAGCTTCCTAGATAAAGTCACCGTTTAAAAGCTTTATGAATTCAGTTGCCACCTCTGTAGATCAAAGCTAATAGCTTAGATTGTGACATAACAGGCACGTACCAGTTTAGGTTCTTTTAAAAATATCATTATCACATTAAAAATTTTAACGCCTTAAGAGAATCTCATTCCTAAATCTGAGTCCATGAAATCTTAGTTACTTACTAAAGCTTCTCGAATGGTTAGTCAAGAGATCATTATCCCTAAAAAATGTAGGGGCTACCTTGAAAGTAACAAAATTATTATTGGTTTCTGGGATCAGGTAAATTATAATTTTATATAACTGAACATAAAACTAAGTAAAAACGCCTATGGCTTGCAATTTTGGTACAACCAAAAACTCAAAAATACATCTACTAAATAGAGATAAATAATAAAACCAGCACAATTCTAATTAACATTAATTTAATGTGAGAGATGGTATTTTGCCAAAACTAAATTGCCTTTCACAGCATGTCCGTGGTCTGACCCACAGGGACATGGGTTCTTTTCCTTTAAGCAGGCATAGTCTTCCACCTCTTCTCCAGTTAAATTGTTGTCAAAGATCTATATGTGCAGCGCCCTCTAATGGCTTTTGAAGTGAATGCAGCATTTGCAGATTAAATCAGTTTACATTTTACTAGCCTTCTAGAAAAATGTTTGATTAAGAGTGTTGGTTTTGGTGCAAATCCTGGCTCTGCCATGGAATGACTGTATCACATCGGGCAGGTTACTTAGCTTCTGTGACCCTCAGGTTTCTTATCTGTAAAGTGACGATTAAAAACAGTACCTACTTTATCGGTTTGTGGTGAAGAACAAGTAAGACAATCTGTAAAACGTGCTTGCTACAAGCCCAGCAGATAAGTGTTTTTGTTTTTTAATTTATTTGGCATCCACTTGATTATAAATCCAGACATGGCCCCTGAAGCTGCGTGGATTACTGGTGTGTGCGTTGGTCCTTCAGCAGTGCTGTCCAGTAGACTGAGCAGTGGTGGGATGTTCTGTCTTTACTGCCCTGTGCAGTAGTCATTCTCCCCATTCGGCTGTTGACCACTTGAAATGTGACTAGTGCATCGTTGGAACTGAATTTTTTATTTTATTTTATTTTAATTAATTTAAATCTGTCAATGGTTAGTGATTATCATGTAGACAGCACAGATCTAGAGCATGTTGTATAGATGTTATATTGTCAGATTAGAAACCAAATTAAACATGTCTCAAAGAACTCATGCATACCAGAGAATATGTCCGTGGACCACAGCTTTGGAATCACTTCAGTAATTCTGTAGGATTTGGCAGTTGTCTCTCTTCTGCTTTTCTTCTCTCGGTTCTGATGGCTGTTTTTTCCCTCCCAGGAAAATGAACCTTTCAGCGTTTTGTTTTTCCCAGCCCATCCTGAAGCTCTTGAGCCCTGGAAGATTGTTTAAAGGCAGTTCATCAGGCACATTCACACTTAGGCTCTTTATGAACTCTGCTTCTTCCAAGCTAGCATCTCCTACCAAAATTAATATTTACTTCTCCCAAACCACTCACAGACCTGTATGTAGGAAAACACACTCATTAATGTCCGTTTATCGGAAGTTACCTGCAGACAATTTTGAAGGGAGCTGGTCTCTTCTTCCATCTTATGGTCTTGGAAGGATTCACTTTAAAGGAAGAAATGCCTTGCAAACAGTAGATACTCATGATATGTTTTTTCAGGGAAATAGCATTCTATGTTTACATGTGTTTAATATGTAGGTAAAATGCTTATTCTGTTATATTTATGTTGCCATTAGTGGTTTGAAGTAAACACTGACCTGTGTCTATTTGCATGACTTACTTATGTTTAGTCATCATTTTGCCATTAATCATTTTTCAGGTGTTAATTATTCCACCCGAAACCCCCTTCTCTTTTATTTCATCAGTCCATAATATCCAAGTAGTAAAGTCAAATAGGAACTATCTGAATAAATTAACTGCAGAGCTCCTACTTTCAAGTAACTGCCCTCAGTTGTAGAGATTTCAGGAGAGAACACTGTGTCCTAGGAGAGGGAAGAATTCCAAAGAAATTGGTAAGCTCTTTGGGATGTTCTCTAGGTTACTAGGACAAGACTCTTAGACTTCCTTTTTATTAATTGCCTGTTACTTTTCCACTTGTGAAATTCAGAACTGGCAGAATTACAGCAGTGGATTTTTTTGGTGCTGTACTCCACCCTCACCTCTAAGTAAGAACAGAAAGGAGAAGTGTCCTTTTTAAATAATTTCTACAATAAAATTTTATAGCAGGGCTATCATATTCAAAGGAAAAAGCAAAAGTGATGAAATGTGGGTTTTCATTGAAATTAGTAGGAATTATTTCATTTTTGGTAATTACAGTACATAATGCCATGTTGATTTTTTTTTTCTCGTCCTAAATCACTTTCAGGTTTGAGTTTACACATAAAAAGCAATCAGGTGGTGCAGGCCAGTTTGGAAAAGTGATGGGTGTACTGGAGCCTCTGGACCCAGAGAACTACACTAGGTTGGAGTTTTCGGATGAAACGTTCGGGGCAAATATTCCAAAGCAATTTGTGCCTGCTGTAGAAAAGGTAAAAACAAATCTTTCTTGCATTTAAAAAAATCAAAAACAGTTTATTAGGTATCAGATTGTATTTTTATCACATTGTCTTCCAGGATTCATTTTAGTTACAGTCCTGCTTCTTTATCTAATTGTTAAGCATTCCATCTGATTTAGAATCTTCAATTCATCTAAGTTTGAGTTATATATCTATGGTATGACAATGAAAGGAAACCATTTGGTTTCTTAATCATGGCTATTTCTCTTCATAAATTGATTAAAAAGTTATACATTTCTCTTGATAAGTTGAAACTACTTCACTGATTATAATCAGCAATTGAAATTTGTAGTAGTCATTAGGGATTTATGAAAGTTTTAGGTGATTATTGTAGAATGATCAAGATTCCCAGCACCAGAGTGTTGCCATCATCTCCGCTCCTGGTAAACGTGCTCTTTGGTACATCACAGCCTTCAGAGCCAGTTTCTTCCTCTGTAAGCTGA